CAGATGACCCATATTCAGACATGACCTAAACAACGCTTCTCACTTATTTCCAGGTGGGGCCAGTTTTGACCTGAAGACAATAATTTGAACATTCTTGGAAGAGATCTTCTACACAGTTTTTAATGCCTTATATCTAACCTCTACCTTTTGACAATTCAGAGAAGAAGATTTTGAAGTTTTAACGATAAACGTATAAGGATAAACACTAGGTGCATAATTTGAACAATTTAGTAGAGGACCTTTAGATGATTTTTATCTACCCAATATTAAAGCTCTTAGTCTTTTTCCTTTAGACCGGAAGAATTTTTAATTTTTTCCTTTATGTACATAATGAAAATCAATAACCTCCGGGACGGGGTCAATTTTGACCCCAGGGCTATAGTTTTAACAATCTTGGCAGAGGTCCACTGCAAAATGTTTCATGCCAAATATCTAATCTCTAGCCTTCGTAAATTCAGAGATTTTAAGTTTTTACGATATGAATATTTAGGAAAATTAATAAAACCCTGGAGCGGGGCCAATTTTGACCCCAAAGCTATAATTTGAACAATTTTTGTAGAGTTTCATTAGATAAACCTTCACACAAAATATTTAAACTCAAATTCTTGCACTTTTTAAAGACTTCATTTTTCTTTAATCTATTTTTAGCTCTACTGGCCTAGAGTTTTAAATGGAGCAGAACCATTGAGCAATTTTAGAAGAGCTTTATGCTAGGAACATCCCAGAGAAATTACCTCGGTTTGACCCATTGGTTTCTGAAAAGAAACCGTTTGTAAAAAAGTTGACGACGCAAGCACTGACAGGCGATGGACGCCGAACTAATTGTGATCACAAAAGTTAACCTTCAAAGAACGAGCAATATACAGACCAGTCAAATCTAGACGCACCAAAGTTATATTAAAATATCGCCACGGATATAGAAATTACGCTCATAACATGGGCTTTTGCCGAGCCCCATGTGTTACCTTGACCTTTGAGCGTGTTCCTGGGTTTTATGTGCGACACACCACCCCATCATGGTGAGTGTTCGTGCCAAATTCATACAACAAACTGCATCCTACTACAAACTGTATTTGGTTCATCATGTAACCTTTCATATAAGAGATAGCATTTGTCACACAATAACATTCAATACAACATGTTGAAGTCTGAAATATCATATTACAAACTGCATAAAGAGAACATTTATTAACAAGCTGTGAAATCAGGTAACAATGTAGTTCCAGTACATCATGAAGCTGTCATTTTTTTCTAAAGACTGTTACATAACACTGTGACATTAAAATACTGGTAGTTTATGTCAAAAAAATTTATAAAGAAAACAAAGCTTGCTGCTTCTGTCACAAACATACACCAACTACTATTTTTAGAACTTAAAGTTGCAGCCAAAATGTTTCAGGAAAATTAAACTTGCGAAAATGTACTAAAATTTTAAGAAATGTAAAAATCAATAATTCAAAAATAATTTAGATGTTAAATGCATTTAAAGGCTGATTTTGTCTATATATCACCATATTGTCTCCTTTGTGACTAAGGCAGTAATGGCTATTTGCATTTTCTGACCTACTTTTACGCATTGTAGATTTGCTTTTTACAATAAACTACTTTTTTCTTCAGTTGACAATATTTCAATTTTTTGATACATTTAAACTTATTAATGACAATTAGCATGAATCTGGAGGCATGCTGCTTTTACATAAAAAAACTAATAAATCACATTATAAGGTACTATAACCAATAAACACATGAAATGACCAAAGTATAACATCAAACATCAAAGTATATAAAAGGTATTTAAAAATCAAACTGACATGTTACGATTTTCTTTTTTTTTTTTTTTTTTTTTTTTTTTTTTTTTTAAATTATTGCAAAAGTGAATGGTGATTTATTAAAAAAGTAGAACATTTTTCTACTTAATTAATAAAAAACACACTTTAATGTTTCCTAAACATTGATCACTTTTAGGCGACATTCTTATCAAAATATCTTTCGATTACAAAATTTGCAAACAAATCATGGTATCTCTTCAAATACTTGCTGCGGAAGAATTTTCTTGCCTTGAAATGTACTTGAAATTTCAAATCGGAATGGTATATAATCAGTTCAATAAAAACAAACGCTTTTCTTAAGCTTTTGACGTTTAGTCTTCTCCAGAAAAAATCGACGTTTATAAAATAACAAATGACAAATGACGCAACGTACGTTTAACTATACGCTAAACAGAACGTGACGTTAACTCGGGAATAAAAAACTTTGTCATATTAATACAGAATCTTTCATGAATATAAATACAGCAATATACAATAAAATTACACATATACATGTAATAAGGATCTGCACATGTGATACAAAAATTCCTGTAATTAATAATAATAAAATTTATTATTATTTTCTTTTCTTTTTTTCTATTAAAATTTATTATTATTTTTTTTATTATTTTTTTATTTTCTATTTTTATTTTTTTATTAAATGGGAATGGTGAAAGTTACAAAATACCAAACACGTGCTGATCAACACAATATTACAACAAAAGAAGAAGGTGAAAGTAGAATATAATGTTTGTTTTTTCTCTCTCTAAATATGAAAATTCATTAAAAAACAAAATATCAATATATTTTCACACACATACATTACATATAAGGATCAAAACTGTTACTTAAATAAGAAGATGTGTTTGATGAAGAAACTCCTGTATGCTAACATTTTCATAGCATTACTTAAAACCTCGTCAAAATGAAAATGGATAAAAATGGCGGTACAGAAATGATTGAAAAAATGAATTTCTGTGAAAAAGCAACATGGGATGGTGTGGCGGGGTGGGGAAGGGTAACATATACCATGTCTCCCTTATTTTGGTTCATTGACAATATTTTAATATAAACTGATTATACTCGATCTATAACATACTATATAATAATAAACTATAGTCATGTTTATTAGTATTTTATCTATAACAAAAGAAAACACTTATCCTTTCTTTATACTTCTACTGAACGAATCTCCTAAATAACAATATAAAAAAATACAAAAGTGAAGTACCTAAATACTGTTGTTACCCTCCTTAACTCCCCCCCCCCCCCAAAAAAAAAAGACTGAAAGAAACGTAACATTAATTATGCAAAACTTAAATTTAAAAAAAAACATAATGTTTTTGAGATTTCCAACAATAACAAAATTCATGAAAAATATTTGTGCAATGACAAACTTCACACATGAAATAATCAAAGTATAACACCAAACATCTAAGTATATATCCTTGAATCGTGTTATTAAACTAAATTGGACAGCTGTCTCTTTCAATAACATAAAAATGGTTCATTACAATAATAATTTTCATTCTGTTAAGGTACATAACAATCAAATTGTCACGTTTTTTGTTGTTGTTTATTTATTTATTTTAATTTTTTTAATTATTGCAAAAGTGAATGGTGATTTATTTAAGAAATAATATCGGTCTTAGCAGTGTTTATCGGCTATTTAACACCGGTTTGGAGTTTTGATGCTTATCAATTGACCACGACGGCCGTAGGCCTGAGTGGTTAATTTTTTCGCATCAAAACGACAAAACCGGTGTTAAATAGCCGATAAACATCGATAAAGACCCATATTATTTCGATTCTAACACGATAAAATAAGGAAGATCACTAATGTTATTGTTTCAAGCGGAAATAACTTCCGGTTTCGATTTTCGTATAACGCTGTTCGATTTTCCCACCCTACTGTTGCGAAGATATAGAATTTTTTAAACAAAAGAAATAATAAGAAAAAAGAACGTTATTTTATCAAGTTTTCAACAATAAAAACTTACGTCGTATTGTGTTTACATCAGTGCCCCATTTATCATTCTTGTATGTGTGAAATAACGTCAGCTTGTTTATGAATGAGTTGTTTACTTAGGATGACGTCATTACGCTGCTTACGGATTGGCGCCGTTTTGTCAAAATATTTATTAACTGATTTGTATTAAAAATGTGGCGTTAATGTATGTGAGATATTTTTTCGGTATTGTATGAAAAGAAAACATTATAGGTACTGAAAATATGAATACAAATGCTTTTTATTGTTGCTTAAAAAGGCTCTGTAAACTATATTATCGAGGATGAAAACATAACAGCCGCATATACAAGTAGTCCATAACCAGTGTTTATTGGCAGTTTAACACCGGTTTTTTTCTTCTTTGTCTATAGTTACAAAATCTAGTGTTAGAATATAAAATATAACATTTTTGTAGTGACTTAATTAATTAAAAAAACACACAATTTAATTTTTCGTTAACATAATCACTTTTAGGCAGCACTCTTATCAAAATATACTTCGATTTGAAAAAGTGGCAAAATAATCATGGTATCTCTTCCAATACTTGGTGCGGAAGAATTTTCTTGCCCTTGAATGTACTTGAAAATTTCAAAGCGGGATGTTGAAAGTTACAAAATACCAAACACATGCTGATCAACACAAAATAACAACAAAGGAAGAAGATATCCACTGATACATGAAGAATATAATGTTTGTTTTTTCTCTCTCTAAATATAAAAAATCATTAAAAAACAAAATATCAAAAAATATTCACAAACATACATTACATTATAAGGAACTAAACTGTTACTAAAATAATATGTGTTTGATGATGATATACCATCTCTCCTCTATTTTGGTACATTGTATACTATTTTAATGTCTACTGATTATACTCAATCTATGACATACTATATAAAAATAAACTATAGTCATGTTTATCAGTATTTTATCTATAACAAAATAAAAAATAATCCTTCCTTTATATTTCTAATGAACGAATCTCCTAAACAACAATATAAAAAAATACAAAAGTAAACACAAGTACCCAAATTTTGTTTTTATCCCCCCCCCCTTAAAAACAAATAATAAAATAAAAAAGAAAGACACGTAACATTAATTATGCAAAACTGAAATTCAAAAGCATTTTTGCATTTGAGATATCAAACAATAAGAAACAAATTTTCATGAAACATATTTGTTGCAGAGGTCAAACATTAATCACTATAATATAATATCTAGAAAAAACAAGTCTTATTCTGAGATTTAGAGTCTTATGACAATCAATGTCAAGAAATGATTAACTTTAAATGAAATCTATGAATCCATTAATCACAATAGTTAAAACAGAGGAGAAAAATTGAAAAAAAAATAACGCAATATTTTTATTTGAATTTTGTTCCGGCGGTGAACTTTAATATATATTGCTAAAAATAACTCAACGGGTACTCTTTACTGTAGTTGTATCAGTTGATGCTTCTTTGGAATCACTCCCGCCATCATGCCATACTGAAAATAAAAATATCATATGATTATAAGTTAAACAAAAAAATGTTAAATATCAACTTGTATCATAGTTTTGTAACCTTTCTATTGAAAATAAGAGTTACGTCGGATACCTATACATGCAGAGTGCATTTACTGGAGTGAAGGTATTAGTTACCAACACTCTAGTAACCGCACTGTCTGTCGGGAATAACAATACAGCATGATCGTTGATAAGCTATTTTTCTGGTGTTTACAATTGAAAAGTTAAATTCAGAAGCTCGTGTATTTTTTTACTTTTTTCCTTGGGTGACTACAGGGAACTTGTTTTGTTGTTGCTTTTTTGCATATGATAAAAAAGGGAAGAACACAAAACGTTCGGCAATTTGATATAAATCCGGGGCTACGCTCCCTCGTACATATCAGATAGCCTCGTGTGTCGATGCCCTTTCTATTACTTATAACATATCAATGGCTCTCATAAACTCACCCTGCATAATTTTTTCTATGACGTTACATATGTGCACCCTTGCCTGCATATAATGTAGTTAAATAACATGTTTAATTTGTAATCCTTTATTTCTTCTTCTAATTATGACATTGGCAAATCCACTCACATCATAAAAGTCTTAAGAAATTATTCTATAATATTCATAAAATTCCTAATTATATTTTACATTTTTCACTCATCAGCTAGTAAGAAAAAAATACATGTTTTTTAACACAATACTGAGTCATTTTATGTCACTGCATTTTAAATTTTACATCATTGTTTTTTTTCTTCCTTAATGTTTGGTCACTATAAATCAACTTGATATTTTATATAAAAAACTTGAAACAAATTTTTCAAAGTAATTGGTAAACATTTGTCAAATTTCTAGATGTATAATAATAGAATATAAAAATGCTTCTTATTGATATAAATACTCTATGAGTAGGCAACATAGTAAAACAGACCATACCTTAAGTGTTTCTTTAGAAAGCTTTAACAATTCTTGAAAAATAAAAAAAGAAGGTCATGTTGGCCATAGACTGCTCCCCTAAGATTCATTGCTATTACTTTTTTTTTTCAAAGTTGTCACCAATTTGGCATGCCATTTTTATCATAGCAACACAATTTATATTAAAAAAAGTCTACATGATAGTTTTCTTGCCTTAATATGCCTAAACTTTAAGTATTAAAGTATCTGAGTAGAATATTTTCCCTATATATGTATTAAAAGTATCTAAGTAAAAGCATCACTTGTATCCTGCAAGTAAGCTGACGGATTTCTGACTGAAGCCAAAGGGTTTGACCATACATAGAAGGCAAGGACAAAGAGGACACTTCAACATCTTAACGTAGTTAATATAAATTCTATAAAGCTATAACATTTATGTATTATGTCAGAGTAACAGTTCAATGGCAATGTATGTTGAGTTATCAAATTCGCATTAATGTTTTATTTATGTTTTTGGTTGGATTTTATGTCGCACTGTCACAGTATAGGTCACATATACGTTCTAGCTTTCCTGGTTGAGGAAGACCACAGATGCCCTTCCATGCATTATTTCAGGTACGAACAGGCACCTGAGTACAACCATTTACATCGACATTTACATTGATTAAATATCAGTAAAATAATCTTTACATCACTCACTTTTAATTATTCATTCTAGAACAATTTTAATTCTTAAATCAATAAACATGAAAGACTAAGTTCCAAGGTAGAATGAAACTTATTGTTCTTGGCCTCTGATCTCTTATTTAGTCTTGTAAGGACAGCTCATCACGGTGCATGCACCAAACAGCGCCCAAATGCGAAGTTTGGAAGCTGTATGAAGAAGGATATGACAAAATATTACGCTGTCAATTGAAATTGTGGCAACAAAAGTAAATTTGTCTTTTTTTAAAAGATCGAAGTTAAGTTTATTTCTGATAATATCTAAATGGAAAATTTAACTAAAATGCAACAGTTTGACCTTGACAGTCAATGTCATTTAACACCTAAGGGCAAGATAAGTTCAACCTTCTAAAGGTTTGCTCCATATGTTGATTTGTCAAAGTATGAAGATGATCCATGGATTAAGTACCAGTCAAAATTAATAGCCAAAATCAGTTAAAAGTCAAAATTTAACACTCAAGGTAGAGATCATCCATGAGCCATGGTTAATTTGAGTTAGACATCGTAAAGGCTTGATCTTAATTTATGTTTTGTTTTTATATGATTTTTATTCATTCATCGATAAAAAGTTATTGCCAGTGACGGCAAAACATAATTTGACCTACAAGGTCAAGGTTTTTTGTGAGTGAATATAAAAGTTTGTCTGGAAAACTTTAAGGCCTATCCTAGAACATTTATGTGTTGAAGTCTGAAGACAAATTATTCATTATTAACAATGTTATAGCAACTAATAGCAAAACTCAGCAAAATGTAAGCAAAATTTAGACATTTAACCCAAAAGGTTCAGGTCATTTATGAAAGAAGGTCAAGTTAAGTCTAGTCTTCATAAAGGTCTTATCAAAGGTTTTTTTTGACCAAGTATAAAGACAATACACCAAGAACTTAAAAAAGTTATGATCAATGTACACGTTTGATCAAGTGACACTACCTCAGTGGTTTTTTTTCAAAATAAAGTCGAGCTGAAAAGCTCAAACAAAGCCTTTGGCTCAGATAAGCTATTAAAGGACAGAACAGCTACAATTGACAGTAGAGAGAAGGTATTGCCACTTCTCACTCAGGGGTCCATATAACTGAGACGACAAATAGTTGAACTGTGCTGTAGAGTGATATTACTTAAATTAAATTAAATTTTAACTCAGAATTAGAATCAGAATTTCACTGAAATAAAAGTATGATAGGCACTATAAAGAAATCTACCACAATAAAAAAATCCTGCCTACTCAGAAGTAATATAAAATGCCATCTATATATCAACAATAGTTCAAACCACCAGTATCACAGTCTCGAATGAGAATGTGTCCATTTTTTAACAACTCATTAAGAAGTAGCAACAGTAGAAGAACTGCCATAATCAAGTTTACCTAGTTGAGAGTGACTTTTTGAGGTGTAAACCTACATCAGAACAGGAATTAATGGACTGTACAATGACTACAGTCTTTGGCTTTTAATGAATCTAAGCGATGTATTTGTCACACATGTTAAACCGTCATAATCTATGCAAGATTTTGCAAAAATAGATGGGAATCATTATCAAGTTGACCCCACCTACAATATTGAATTTCTACTACAGTGGTGCAAGCAATGGGAAATTAAGTATCCAAAATTATCAAAATTAGTCAAATGCTTGCTTTGCATTCCTGTTACTGGTGTTCCTTCTGAGAGGGTTTTCTCAACAGCAGGTGATATCTTTTGATGGCCAAACATGTGCATGAGTTGATATTTAAAAGAATGGAAATAGAAAAAACGCTGTTGGAGAAAATTGAACGATTTAACTGTTTGTTTAATGCTTTGATCACGACACTAACTGTTGCAAATGGATTTGATGGATTTGAAAACTTTGAACTAATAGAATTTGGAATCTTCTTTATCCCATATTCAAATATTCAAATGAAGTCCATGGGATTAACTGACAGCATTGGCTATTTTATCATATGCATTTGACAAAGTGATGGACATGTTTAAAAAATTAACAGCTGTCTATGAGATTAGAATTATGGTATTTTTACCCAGTTTCGCTGATAGTACAATTGTACCAAAGTAAATAAAAATGACTTGTTGTAAGTTGTTTTAATATTCATAAAACTGTTTCTTATACATCAGACTTTTTTGAGTTATTCATAAAACTGTTTCTAGTCACATCAAACTTTAATTTTTATTGAGTGATTCAAAAAAGTTATGCTGAGAATGTCAGTATTGTGTTTAATTTGTATACTGATTACATTTAAAATAATGAAAATATGCGGTATACTTTGTTCAATATTTCTTAGTAAAAACAACCAGCTTTTTAGTAGCAACAAACATGTTTTACCCCTTGTGATACCAAATTGCTTGTAAAATTAGATTACATCCCCAGTCAGTATAGTGCTAATATGGGTAAATCTAGAAATACAGCTCTTGTCTGAGTAAACATACCAATGATTATCACAAATATAACAGCAATGATTCCTATAAGGAGGAAGAGCCACATCTGAAAAAACAATAACAAATTATTATGGCTCACAATACAAAAATCAATTGAAATAAAACATATGTGAAATTACTACAATAACAACTAGAAATAGACAAAGGGTTTTTTTCACATAAAATCAAACTTATCTGGCTTTTTTCAGTTTGAGAAAGTCACATAACTATATGTTATAATTATGATTTACTGGTAAAAGGTCTGAATATGTGGACCAGTATGCAAAAATTCCTTCCTATTGGTCAATCTAAAAATTTATTTAAGAAACAGCAAATTATATAGAAGAAAATCAAAGTGGTACCATTCTTTTTAATAGCCAGATCAGTGAGCATAAAACATTTATTTCATATGATTACAATATATTCATTGGTTTTGAAATAACTCAAAAACAACCTGCAATCTGTATCTGAGGTATAATTAAGTATATTCATAACCACTGCATTATATTTGTTATGCAATGTCAAAGTTATTATAAAACTTAAGTTTCAATAAATAGATACAATAATAAACAGATACAAAAAAGTTGCTAAATGCAATTAAAAAGTTAAACATAGTAGTGGTTTTTTTATTACAACATATACTAGAATAAAACTTTTATAATAAAGGTAGGTGTAAAACACATCTGAAAGTACATGTATTTTAAACCAATGAGATAATCACAGTCATAACCTGTTACTACACACAACACTTAAATAACATAATGTAAGTTCTGAAAATGTAAACTGATGAATACTGTATAGACAACAATATTAACGATACTACATCACCTTACCTATAACTCAAACAATGACTCCCATAATTAACACCATCTAAAACATCAGCAAATTAAAAAATTATTTAATAATACTGCATGTTTGTTACCTTGATTTTCATTTGATAATTGTCAAATTTATAGAGGATATTTGTTTGTTTGTGATTAAGATGAAATCAAATTACATCTTCCTAAGCAAACAAACAAATTTCCTTTTTTATGCTTCAAAAAAAAGTTTAAATCAAATTACCTAAATATTAACTTAAATATTAATTTCTGTTTTCCCTACAGGTAGACTTATTTTTAGTCGAATTTCTCATAAATACAAGAAGTCATGAGCTAAAAAATAAGTTCAACAATCAACGTTAAATGGCCATGATATTATTTATTTTATTCAAAAATATACATGATAGCTTGTTTAAATAATAAAAAACAATCAATTCTAGAAGAATAAAAAGTCACATAATCAGACCTTATTTCCGTTACTTTAGGACCAGGCCATTTTTAAAAGTTGTCTGTTTCACGGAGGGAAAATAATTGTGTTTTATTCAGAGGGATATCATTTGGATTTGTTAGTCATACATCTTTTTATAAGAAAGAAAACTTATATGAGGATTGTTACAAACAATTAATAATTGTTGACAGATGTGAAACATTAAAAAAAAACGTCTAGGAATTTGGAAAACATGGAATTGTTGAAAGACTGTCTTACGAACGCTTGGTTTTTTACTTATTCGGGCTGATGCCTGTCATTGATTATCAAATTTTAATATTGCATTAGGCAGTTATTGCTCGTAGGATACTTAATATGCCCAATGTCATGATGAGCAGTTTTGCATGTGGAATGAAGTGTTTATGAAAAACGATATATGGTGATATGTAAATTGAAGGAATTGAAGGAAGTTTTTGTTCTTTTTTATATCTTTTGAGATCAATTTCAGCTCGTCATTGAAAATTGTGAAATTATATTTTGATAATTTTCACTGTGAAATTATATTTTGATAATTTTCACTGTGAAATTATATTTTGATAACTTTCACTCTGAAATTATCAAATATAATTTTCACGGATAAATTAGTAATCCACTCAAAAGCATTACATAAATATACTTAGCTACTGGGCAGCTGACTGAATATTAATTTTATTGATTAGTATTTTTCAAATTATTTGATACAGATTTTTAACAGATTATTAATGGCGTAAATATTGACGTTTGCTATTCAGCTTTTTAAAAAAGTCCAAAAAACTATTCAGAAATCTTATATATAACTTATAATGTACCACAGTAACTATGATATTTATACCTTGCGATTTTTCCACCAAAACTTTCGTTTTCCAGCGCTCGCTTCACACTGAGATGAACCAGCTTGCAATAATTCTGAAATAAAAAAACAAAGTCAAATGTGATAAAAACAACAACAGATACTTATCAGTCTTTACAAAGTAGAAATACTAAAGAATACTTAAATGATACATTTCAAAATGTGCCAATTGCAAACTTATCCACTTTAATTCCAATAGCATGCAACATGATACTGACTTGTCTATTTAAATGCGTGTAGTATAGAGACATCTCACTACCTAAGTCCAGTAACGGGTTAATTCCTGTTAAATTTCAATAGAAGTAACTGCACTATGGTTACATCTGTGCAGCCTGACTATGTTCTATACACTTAATTTATCAACCTGGACAGAAGGTCTTTTTCACAAGCTCAGCAACTAAAGCCAGAAGTTTTCAAAGAAGCTGTATTTTAATTAGATAACACAAATATCTAACAAAAGCATAGGTGTTTTCACTTTAACTAGAGCTTTCACTGAATATGATTAATACCCCCGCCAGCAACTTTGACTTTTTAAAAAAATAAGTGGTCTATCTAAGCTTGCTATACACCAACTTTGTTTTCAATATCTCATTCTTAATCAAACTCTAGTTGTTGTCTGGAAACCATTTTTCTATTTTTAGTAACAGTGACATTGACCTTTACCACAAGGGTCCAAATGCAATACCAACCGGGGTTTTCACATAAGTTAAAAAAAATACCAAGTTTTATTATAATACCTCATTCCTAACTTTAGTTATCGACCGAATCATGATGTGGAACGACCGACAAGCTGACTTTAAAAAAACAACCCTAAACTTCGTTTTTTGGGGGTAAACTGAAGTCCATGTTAAAGTTTTGAGAATACAAACCTGCTCTGTCGTCCAAGTCAAATATTTGTTGATCTATTTCGAAATCCGTGTCAACATTATCCACAACCTGAAACAAATATTACATAGATTAAAACTAAACATTTTTAATTAGTGGAGAAGACCTCAGTTGCACCTCAGTGCAATTTATTTATGCTCTAGTGTACACCTTAGCTGGATAGCTTCTTCCCATGAAAGAATAAAAAATCCCTGGAGGGATTTGAACCAACAGCAATGCAGGGCAAGTGGTTGGTTTAAAGTCAATAACCACAGATTAACCCATATATGTTAAAGTTCGAACAGCTGTAACTTGGTAAGAATTCTGATATTTTGACATATATTTTACGTTATCATTTACCATACACTTTTGTATTTGTATATCTTGTGTCTAAAGGCGATTATGATATTGTTTTTCACACTTCCTTTTATACACATACGGTATTTAACTTGTTGTCATCGCAAGTGGTTTTTATTAGCTCGATTTTTTTTTTGAAAAAGAAAAAGTAGAGGTATTGTTATAGTCGCGGCGGCGTTGCCGTCCGCAAACTTGTACCTGGATCATAACTTTTTTAGTTCTTGGTGTATTGTCTGGCCACAACAACCCATGGGACAAGTCCTTTCAGTAGACCACACTAACCTTGACCATCATCCATAAATGACCTTGACCTTCAAGGTTAATAGTCCAAATTTTGCTTGTCCTTGCTATTATTGGCTGTAACTTTTTTTTTTTAATGGATTGTCTTCAAACTTGAACATAATAATAAGGATAACCCTTAAAAATAACCAGACAATCCTTGACCTTCACTCATTAATGACCTTGACTTTAAAGGTCAAATTATTGAAATTTTCATTCTTTTGGCTGTAACTGGCTGTAACTTTGCTATTATTGAAAGGATCAACTTCACATTATAACAGAACTTTCTTTAGGACAAGACCTTGTTGTTTATCAAACCCAAATTGACCTGGGCTCTTTAATGACCTTGACCTTGGAGGTTTAATTACTGAATTTTCTCAGATTTGTGCATTAAATGATCATATATATTTATTGGTGTGTGTATATATATATATACATCAACAACAACAACAACAACAACATTATAGAATTGCGCGTTTCTATTTTTAGAATTGCGTGTTTCTATTTATAGAATTGCGTGTTTCCATTTTTAGAATGGCGTGTTTCTATTTATAGGATTGCATGTTTCTATTTATAGAATTGCGTGTTTCTATTTTAAGAATAGCGTGTTTCTATTTTCAAAATTGCGTGTTTCTATTTATAGAATTGCGGGTTTCTTTTTTAGAATTGCGTGTTTGTATTTTTAGAATTTGTTTCTATTTAAAGAATTACGGGTTTCTATTTTTAGAATTGGGTGTTTCTATCTATAGAATTTATATTTATAGCATTGCGTGTTTCTCTATTAAGAATTGCGTGTGTTTCTATTTATAGAATTGCGTTTTCTATTTTTAGTATTGGGTGTTTCTATTTATTAAACTGCGTGTTACTATTTTTAGAATTGGGTGTTTCTTTTTTTAGAATTTAGTGTTCTATTTATAGAAAGAATTGCATGTTTCTATTTCTAGAATTGTGTGTTTCTATTTTTAGAATTGCGCGTGTTTCTTATTTTAGAATTGCGTGCTTCTATTTTTTGAATTCTGCTAGTTTTATTTTTACAATTTTGTGTTTCTATTTTTAGAATTGCGCGTGTTTCTATTTTTAGAATTGGGTGATTCTATTTGTAAAATTTCTATTTATAGAATTGCGTGTTTCTATTTTAAGAATAGTGTGTTTCTATTTATAAAATTTGATTCTATTTATAGAATTGCGGGTTTCTTTTTTTAGAATTGGGTGTTTCTATTTATAGAGAGAATTGCGTGTTTCTATTTATAGAATTGCGTGTTTCTATTTATAGAATTGCTTGTTTCTATTTATAGAATTGCGTGTTTCTATTTTTAGAATTGCGTGTTTCTATTTTTAGAATTGTGCGTGTTTCTATTTTTAGAATTTTGTGTTTCTATTTTTAGAATTGCGCATGTTTCTATTTTTAGAAAAGCGTGTTTCTATATTTATAGAATTGCGTGTTTCTGTTTTTAGAATTGCGTGTGTCTATTTTTAGAATTGTGCGCGTTTCTATTTTTTAGAATTGTGCGCGTTTTCATTTAGTTTAGACATATTTTGTTATAATTCACAATATACAGAGAGCAATTCAAATATTATTAAAAACTGGATTAGAATGAAAGACAAGATGTCTTATGAAATTCTTTTTGTTTCTATTTATAGAATTTATATTTATAGAATTGCGTGTTTCTATTTTTAGAATTGCGCTAATATTATTTTAAGAATTTTGTGTTTCTATTTCTAGAATTGCGTGTTTCATTTTTAGAATTGCGTGAATTTTGAGTAAAACGTTATATATTTTTTGACGTCAATAGACGTTGAGCTTCGTAGAACTAACATTTACCAGCTTACCATTGTATTCCGTAATTAATAATTATGATAGGGCTACTTTGAAATAAATAAGTATCTTCTTATTGAAATGTATGCCCAAGATTAGCATATTTATTTTTAACCCGACTGTGACTTTTATTTTTCATTTTCTAATTTACTAATTGAGGCGTGATTTGTATTGTTATTTCGGAAAAAATAATTGGCACTGCTTTAAATTTCATTACCGGAAAAAATAAAATGACAGTTGGAAAAACAAGATTCGAACATTTAAGATTTAGGTCTGTAAGTTTTACTTCCGCAGCATTATTTGTGAAGGAAAGGCAAAAGCGTTGGTTTGATGTCAACGCGCCCCCTATCGGTAGCGACGCAATTGCGACTTTTTTTGTTGTTGATAAAACGGCCTGTTTTTTTTTTCAATTCAAATCCGATTTTTTCCATTTAAATTTTTTTAAACTTCAGCGATTCTGCAGCTAACTTTCCACCGTTTTGACATATAAATAAATTTATTCAAAATATCGACGATGAATTTTGTTATAATCTTTTAGCATGTAGAGAAGTCGTGATTATATTGGTTTATTCAATGAAAATATAGGGCCAACTCATAAGATATTTTGCTATTACTGTTTGAATATAGAATTAAAAATTGGTAAAACCTAATGATTTTGGTGACGTCAAATATTTTTCTGAAGAAAAATGTCACGACTTTTTCGATAAATAGCATAATTCCAGGAATGAAAAGTCGCTAACTCGCGGTATGCCTTTACCAGCGTATCGCTGTTTGATGCATTTATTTCTCGATTCGAAGCAAAAGACATGTTAATTTACTGGAGCATTTTACATATGTAATTCAGATTGCCTTGTATTGAAGAGGATCATCTAGGATCCTCAATTCGTGTGATTTTTTCCCTGCACAATACGGTGCTATAGAGCCTATGAAAAAATACTTTATTGTTTACATAAACACCTTATTGTGTGTGGTTTTTTTTTCTGCTAAAAGCAAACTGTATACACAAAAAATGAAAACGATAGCGTCAGCATTATACACCATTCGTATCTAATGGTAACATTAGTTGCACAAGTTATTTAATAATTATATTTTGTATTTAATTGAAATATACAGTATAAATTCTGCAGAGAAATGCCTTTTGTTGCTAAGAGTTGTTGCTCTACAGAGGATAAATGAAGTGGAAATCTTAGATAAACAATAATATTTTAAGGGTCGCTCTGTGTAATAAAAAAGTCGGTAAGTACATGAACACGTAAATCCCAGAAGCGTAATGGTATCCAGTCTGCAGTTGCGAATATGCAAATATATATTTTTAGAGTATGATTTTTGCTTCCAAAATACTAAGTTTGTCACATTAGTGTTCATTATTTTTTGATTTATAAACCAATTATCATAACATTTTTTATTAGATTAAAGTATTGCACAACCTTGAAAATGGAAAGCAAAATTAATTGTTTTTGTATATTCTTAACATATTTTAAATATTATTTCTGAATTATATTTATCACCTTTTCCGGCACATTTGTATGTATATCTATTCAGATTGCATTTTTAATATGTGTTTTGATACCGGGGCTCGTCTGTCTGTATGTGATTTTATGAAAGTGTTTAAAAAGTTAAGAAGTTACGTAAAATTAATATTCTAACGGGTATCACATAAGCGACTAAATGCTCGTACTTCTGTCATACAGCAATATGCGATTCTTACTTTTTGCGCTGAAATAAGGTATTTCATGTAATATTATAATATTTTTACTTTTTTATTACAATCACCAAATTGTAAAAAATAAAACTGAAATATGTATGAGACTGCGTCCAGCAAATTGGAAACGTATTAATAAAATGCCTTGGCGGATTAAACATTGTAAATTTCCTCATCTTACATATGCATATCAAAAAGAAAATAATCAGCAATTTATATAAAAAAAAAGTATATTCTTTGAACTCTAACGTCTATTGACGTCACCAAAATCATTGCGTTTTATTCACCCTTTATTTTATTTTCATAACAGTAATAGGAAAATATCTTACGCGTTGACCATATATTTTTATTGTATAAATATTTTCCTTTACGATTTCACTTCATGCTTAAAAAATTATAGCAAAATTCACCGTGCCGACCTTTTTTTATTTTACAATTGTTATTGCGATGACGTGCGATATTTTCAACAAATTTATTCGTCAAAACAAAGGGAAAAAAGCCATAAAATCGCGGTATATTTAGCAAAGTTAAAAGAAAGACATCAATGTAAAGGCATACATTTACTGAAAATTATAAAAATCTGGAAACAAAGTGATCCCTCGGAAGCATTAATCACAACAAAATTACATAAGAATTGCAGACTCGGTTTGATTGACTCAGTACATGAGGGATACTGTATAAGTGCAACATCCCTCACGCCCCCTAGCACCGGCTTGAGCGATACTCAATTCTCAACACTTAATAGTGCTGGCATCAATGATCCCCGAAGGACCAGAAACACATAACAACACTGAAGTGAAGTACGGGGCAACCTTTTTATAGCTGCCACACTTCACTTGACACCTGCTGTTGTGAAGTATAAAAACCTGGAAAAAAGTGATCCGTCGGAAGCATTAATCACAACAAAATTACATAAGAATTGCAGACTCGGTTTGATTGAGTCTGTACATGAGGGATACTGTATAAGTGCAACATCCCTCACGCCCCTTAAAAATTCAAATGGAGAAAATCGGACAAGAATTGATTGAAACAGGCCGTTTTATCGATATAAATGTTGCAATTCATACGCCGCCGATAGAGGGCGCTTTGACGTCATAGTCACGCTTTTTCTTTACAAAATAATGCTGCGGAAGTAAAGCTGACATATATACATATGTGCATGCCAAAAATCATCAAGATCTAAGATGTTGTCAAATTTCGGTCGGAAAGTAGCGAGCTACCTTAAGTAGTTTTGCAGAAATTAACTTGCATGGACGAACTTAACCAGAGTGTGATTCTGACGCCAGTGCAATGGCTCTACCTAGTCTTTACGAACCAATTACTTTTTCGTATCGTCAATTGTGTTCTTTTATAACTTAACGAAAATTAAGTTTTTTTGTTAATTTATAATGCATTATTTATAATCGTGGCATTTTAACACAAGTATTCAACAAGTCAATCTGATGATATACAACTTGTTCCTAAACTCATTGATTATACATTGAATTTCTTGTTCCTAAATTCATGGATAATATACAACTTTTCCCTAACTTGTTTGCGGAAAATGAACTTGTTCCAACATTCATGGATAATATAGAACTGGTTCCTCAATTCATGGCTTATACTCATCTTGTTTCTAAAATATGATAAACAAGATCGACAAGGAAAGGCGGCATTCAATGAACGTTCATGTTTTATTCATGTTTTATAAACCACTGTATTTTTATTTTAAATTCTCTTGAATTAATAATGCACGTTCAAATTTCAGTACTGTACATGATAAGGCCATTAAACAAAATGAGTGGTGTAAAATTTACTGTTTTGTATGAAAATAACTGTCAATAACAGCTTCAACTTCCCCTGTTTAACGAATTGCTCAATAACTATCTTAAAACTGACAAGGTAAGATCATGAACATAAATTATCCTTTATAATTAATCAAATAAGGAAACTCACTTTTTATTCACGAAAACATCTGTAATATTTCTGTTTTCATAAGGTTGCCAAGAACAACACTATGTTGATCAAATGTATCAATTATATGGCGAAAACACTCCGTAAAACAATGAGTAATAAAGGCATTTAACTGGCTTGATAAAACTGGTACGTAGAAGATCTTCAACTAAGTGCAACATTTATTTTAAACTTACAAATAAGAATACTTAATCAAATATATTTAAACAGAGGCCAGAGATAGCCATTAGTCTTTTATATTCATCATCAGGTATTTCCAACAATAGGAATTAAAACAGTAGATTGTTAAGAACATGATAAGCCAGCATGAATGTGAAGACTTATGTGGCCAGATTATAAAGCATGACATTTTTACTTGCATTATCAGGTTATTATCAGGTATTTCTATAGAAGTCATTTTTAAAAATATTTTCCTTTGACTGGACTTCAAGTAACCGATTTAATAATGGATGTAGAATTTTTCAAAAACCATCTCTATATGTTCACTTTACATACATACATCCATTTATCTCTACAACCATTGGATGGCTACAAGTAAGCCTGATTGTTTTCAGACTAAGGGCTGTTTTCCATCTTCAGCAGCGGTTTCTTAAAAGAAAATTTATGCAGTTTTCCCCATAATTTGATTTAACATAAAGTATTGTTTTCTTCCCTTATAACAGAAATATAATATTGTTTTCCACATAATAAAGTAAAGTGCTGCTTTCCCAGTGGTGCTGTACATAAAGCCCCGCAAAAATAAATGATGAACATAAAAAACAATAACCTTTTTGCCATCACATATACCATCAATCAACATTATTTTCTATAAAAGTAATTAGTATTGAAGAAAATCTTGCTTTTATTTATCACTGAATTTTTTACCTCATCCACCTGTGATTGTCTCTGCTTCAAAGGCTTTCTTACAACATTCCTAGGTTCTCCGTCCGACCTGAAATATCCAAAATATATGCTGAGTTTTTTATTTTTTATTTGGATTCTGTACTTTACAAATATATACCTACCTTTGTGTTCCTTGATTATGTTCCAGTTCTGACCTGTGTTTCGAAAACTATTTAGTTCGGACGGACGCATGGACGAATGGACGTGCAAATATTTGGAGACGGACGCACATACACCAAACTATTCGACAAAAGTGACGGCTAAGTCAGGCAAGCATGCTCGACAAAATTGAATAGTAAAGTGATAGTTCTTAAGCACTGCACTTCCCCCTTTATCATGGTTTCTATCGCTGTGTAAAGTTTAAATTGAATCTCTTGTAATTTAATACTTTTCAAGTAATTCAAGTACGGACAGGCTGACGAACTGAAGGAAATAGTACATACATGGTGGCGACTGTTTGTTCTCCCATCCGGAAGCATAAAAATAGCAAATACATGTCAATATTTTTTAAATATTTGTACCATTATAGAAGTTGTATTTAAGATTTATGGATACGTGTCGGACCATGAATATTTCTACATAGTACAAATAGTACATGGACATAATGGTCGGAAAATTTCTTGTGGAACTTTTCAATTAACATAGTTTGTTTCCCTATTTATTTTATGCCAAAAGTCATGAATAAAACATTGATGAAACTGATTATCATCATTTAAATCACAGTTTTTCATCAATCGGCATGATCGGCGGTTCCATTAACCCTTTACCTGTAATTTAAGACTAAGCATGTCGTTACAAAGGCAATGGTTTGTGCCAAGTTTGATTGGTTTTGAAGCATTTTTCATAGTTTCATAGTAGTTTGAACTTGTAACAGAAGGCTTTTCGATGAAAACGGCTATTTTTCACAATATGCTCATGAGGGAAAGGGTTAACTAAAAAAATTTAAAATGTTACAAAACAACCATTTTTCACCAAAATTAGGTAAAAGACCACATGTTTACATGGAAAAACTAGATTTTGGGTAATTCCAAAGTTTTTCATCACTTTTTGTTAACCCTTTACCTCATATATACGCGAAACAACGCACTTTCTACCCCCCTACCCCTCTTTTAGGCCTCAAATAGTGAAAAATGTCCTATTTGGGCCCCAAACACATGTTTTCGTTTGAGAAATTTTGCTTAAAAAAGTGAGAACTTTTCCGGTGCCGCCCCCATCCAAAAAATACATCAGGGGGTTGCCAGAAGTGGAATGTGGCCACTTCTGTTTTGGGGTTTTAAGGGGGCGGTAGTCCCCCTAATCGCCAAGAAATTTTTTTGGACTTGTGAGAGGCTAAAATTAATCATAAGGTAACGTGCAACCAACACTGAAAAACCTCTGACTCTATCTCAATCCTCTGAGAAGTTGCAGCACTTTGAAATAAATTTTGATGGAAAAAATCGAGGCAAAATAGTGATTTTTGGCAATTTTGAGATGTGCTCTCGTTGCCATGGTAACAGAAAATTTAAGACTGAGCATGTCGTTACAAAGGCAATGGTCGAGTCAACATTTGTGCCAAGTTTGATTGGTATTGAAGCATTTTACATAGTTTCATTGCAGTTTGAACTTGTTCCAGGAAGCTTTTCAATGAAACCGGCCTTTTTTCACAATATGCTCATGAGGGAAAGGGTTAAAAGACTTCATAGCTGTAGCTATAAATACAATTATATAGGCCAATATATAAAAGTCTAGCTCAAAGTTCAATGTTACAAATGAAACTTTGTATGAAGTCCATATTTGATAGCTGAAGTCCTGAATGCAAAAATACGTCACTTGATCAAAATATAGATCAATTGATACGACAATTACATTTTGCTTCTGCAAATATTATCCGTTCTAAAATTTCATAGCTGTAGCCACATACAAAAAAAAAACATTATGGGTCATGACCCAGGAGCGTATGGGGGCTAGTTTTAACCCAAGAGAATATGCTTGGAAGAGGTTTACAATACAATTTTTGACTAGTGACCCATTGCATTGAATATGATGTCATATTCACCGGTAGATGATATATTGACCAAGGCGATAGCCATGACTTATAAGTCGATAATTGTTTTCTTCTATGAATAGGTAAAGATAAAAATACACATCACACAAAAAGTAAAGACTTTAAGGAAATACAAAACACAACGTTTGCCTGATTTCATTGAAGCCAGGGGAAAGCCACACTGTTGACGAGATGACGTCAGGCGTTCCACGACTAGGCGAAAGCTGCGCAAACAAAAGCAATAAACTTTTTTCACATCAATGCGGTCCAACTTGGAACTTTTATAAAATATTAATGATAGTTTAATCGATAAATTTGACATCAAGATCAAAATGCAACAATAATTTTTCTATGTGCATGGTGTAGAATGTATGATCATTGAATATGTGTCTCAATCTATTTTTAGATTTGTAAAATCCAATTCAGCCAGTGTGAGTAATAAATCTCAAAGTGAATATGAGTTTATGAATACTTCTGGTGACTACTGTTTCGACCATTGACATTGCAGCTACTTTTAGATCAAATAATAATACATAAGATATTTTACCAAATAGCTCAGATTTCTTATGAAGAGATTTTACTAAATCCCATTATAACCGGGGGCCGTTTTGATCCACGGGCTATGATACGGATCAAGTAGACAATGTTACGTACCAAATATCTACGCTCTAGCCATTGTGGATTTAAGATTGTAAGGTGTTTTTTCTATCGGTTGTCATGGCAACCACAGTTATGCATAGAATGAGTGGGATTCTTTAAACAATTTTGAAAAATAAAGTGTTATGAACAATCATACTTTGTTTTACCAACATTGGCTCAACGATTTAGGAAGAATTATTGTTATAATCAAAAGTTTCAGAAACATTGCACATGAAAAACGACGGATGACGACCGAAGGACAAACACCAGGTCACAATAGCACATATTGAGCGCGTTGTTTTAATGGAATTATGGGTCACTCATCTGTTGAATCTACAATCTAGTTGTTATACTTTGATTTTCTTAAAATAATATAACATGAAAAGATTCTTCTGACACATCAATCAAATTTTGACCACATAATAAATAATAAATTTTTATTTTAAAAGAGTACAAGTTACACGGATGAAATTTCACTATAATACATGCTCATAACCTATATAATTTTAAAAGTAAATTTGACAATCTCTACACGACAAAACGCAACACCTCATAATGTTATAGAAAGGACAAAACTCCATACATGAGTTTTATAGTGTACAAAAACCCTAATATTTAAATTTATTAAATTTATAATCTGACCCTGTAAGCTAAGATCTTTAAAAGTAAGGTATAATCTGATTATTTTTTCATTACGTTCGTTTGGCCACAAGAGTTGTTCTCTTAAAGTATGAATGAAATTTGTAATTAGGTCAAGGACATTTATGAGTCAAGGTCACTTTGAAATGCTTATCCAAAAGGTTGTTTTGTCCAGGTATTAGGGCAATCCATTGAGAAAAATAATGACTAGTAAAAAGGTTCTCGGACGGCATTGGCAACGGCAACAGCAACATCAATGTACATGAATGTACACGACAACATAAATGTAGTAAATAAAACATAGCTGAAGGAAGAGGTTGAGCTTAAACCAGAAACAAAGTTAAATCAAAAAGGGAATAATAGTTCATTTTTCTCTGCATAGATGAGTTGTCAAGTTACTTCCAATACATTTTCAGCTTGGTTTTAGAAAAAAGTAGAGTATAGAATTACAAAGTGTAATTTACAAAAAAAAGCAAATAAGAGCTATGCTTCATAAATAATGCATTGTGAAACAAGTCATGGACACTGAATTTCTCCTAAGTAAGATGTATCCATCTTACGATTAAAGTTGATACGCTATCATATAATTATTATGTCCAGGACAACATTTGATTATGAAATATTACGAAGGAAACAATTGTGCAAAGGGGATCATTTCATTGAAGCCCTGCAATTTTCTTCAATAAGATTTATTATTAAGTGATCCATTCAATACTTTTAGATATAAGCCCACGGACAAAACTTAATTTAAAACAATATACAAGGACAAAACTTTATAAGCGTGAATAAAATAAGTATTCTTCTTAACAATGAGATATATCAACCTATAAAGTTTTAAGTTGAACGCTTCAAATCCTGTTTAATTTGCCCCGGACAAGCAAATTTAGACGGTCACACGGTAAAAGAAATTGATTCTAGTAACCCTAACAACTTTGTACAAAACACGAATAGTACAAAAAAATATCAATCAAGAAAGGTTATGTTTACTCAGGTTATCCAGCGACAGTATTGAAAAGTTTACGAAGGTATCTGTATAAAAAAATTTATATTTCATGTACAATTTAAATTATAACGGTTCATTCAAATTACCTGTTATCCTGTATATGACAGTTTCCATTGATGTTATCATTTGCGTCAGGAAATGTTTTAAGTGCATATGGCGGTGAATATCCAACTGCATGCAAAATGTCACATATGGGAGTCACAATAGTGTAATATTCATGGCCACCCAACAGGAGACCAACAGCGACTAATCCTTTGTCAGATTCCATAAAAACCAGCGCTCCAGAATCGCCTTTATTAGCAAACGAATTTTTTTTCCACTCCTTATTAATGATTTTTATCTGATTTTCAAATAGAATTCCAAAATGGTTAACGGCTGCACCAACACAATAGTAATTGCCTTTTGTTAACAACGTGGTAGCTCCGTATTTGATGAAAGTTTCTGATTTGTGCTTCATGATTTCATCTGTATTGTACACTTTTCCTGAAGTATACTCTGGAATGTAATCTTTGCCGAAACCTTAAATGAAAATTTTGAAAATTGTTAGCATAAGTTTTGTAGAAAAACAATTGTTTATGCATCCGTGATTTCTTACAACGTGCAAATACATTTACTCATGCACACAAAGATAATGTTTCTAATGAATAAGACAGCATTAATAGTAAATACCAATACCAATGAATGGGCAGTGTGAATACATAGGGCCATTAGACAAGTGGGCAATGATGGCTCACCTGAGATACATTTATGGAAAATGTCAAAACTTTTCAATAAGTCGGTTAAAAGGTGACTTTTGTATTTTTACCCAAGCTGCATTATTAATAGAATATTTGTAGATGTCTGCAAAATAATGCTTTATGACAAATATCTAATCTTTTGGCATTGCAATTTCATAATATAAACATTATGAAATGTGTTTAACTATAAAAAACTATATTATCTAATAGACACCCGATGCGCGGCAAATTAACCCAAAGGACATAATATATATCAATTATTGTAGGATAACAAGGTGATTCTTCATGCCAAAAAGCTCTGTACTTTCAAAGAATAAGTTTTTTAATACATTTTACTATAAAGTTATATGTTTGTGACCCAAGGATGGAGCCGTTCTTCATCTCTAGAGCAAAAAATCTATAACTTTTGCAGAGGTCAACTCGGCTATGTTACCTGCCAAATTTCTAAGGCCATTGCATATTTGTATCTGAAATAGTGCATTTGTAAAAACGTTACTGGTTGCTATTGGTAAGGGAAAACAACAATTCAAAGAGGTGTACATATAACAAAAATCAATGACCCCATGGGGCGGGCCAATTTTAACTCAACGGTTAATTTTAACAAACTTGGTAGACGCTCACTAGAAGATGTTTCAGGTTATTTATCTAAGCTGTAACTCTTTGGGACTTTTTTTAAAAGGAAATTTTTTAAGTTTTTACAATATTTATATAAGGAATGACAATGACACCCCCTTGGGCGGGGCAAATCTTGACCCCAGGGCTTGTATTTAAATAAACTTGGTAGACACCCATTGAAGATTTATCATGCTTAATATCTAAACTCTAGCTCTTTAGGGTATTTAAGAAGATAGGATTTTACTATGTACATAAAAGGAATATCAATGACCGCTCGGGACGGGGCCAATTTTGACTCCAGAATTTTATACCTTGATCAAACTTAGTAGACACTATCTAGAAAGCATTTCATTCTAAATATCTAAGCTATACCTATTTGTGTTTTTTAAAGGAATTTTGTTAAGTTTTTACTATTATACATATGAGGAAAATAAATCATCCCACTTGACAGGGTCAATTTGGACCCCAGGGCTTTTATTTGAACAAACTTGGTAAACATCGAGAAAAGAAGTTTCATGCTTAATGTCTAAGCTTCCTGGGTTTTTTAAAAAAGAAGTTTTTACCTTAAACATATTTAGAAAACCAATGATCCCCTCTTGGGCGAAGCCAATTTTGACCCCGGAGCTAATTTGACCCCATGGCTTTTATTCGAACAAACTTGGTAGACACTCACTAGAAGATGCTTCCTGATTAATATCAAAGCTCAAGCTATTTTTGTTTTTTAAATGATTTTTTAATATTTATTTTATTTCGGTTGACATGGCAACGAGAGTTCTGCATGGAATTAAATTCTTTGAACAAATAATAAAGATGACCACAAAATATTCAAATATTCCTGTGAAGTTTGGATGAAACTGGCTAAGCGGTTAATAAGATGTTGTTTTAAGTAAAAAAACTTTCTTAAGTTTTACATGTACCAATGGTTTCATAATTTACAAACCTACTTATCAATACAAAGTACATGATATTGCCAAGTTATATAACTGTCCATCCATTTTTGCAATTATTTCTCTTTTTAAAACAAGTTGGATTTATTTTAAATTTCTCCAAATTACTTTTGTATTGAATGATATATTTCATGTTTGGTAGTTGGATACCTTTAATGGTCTTTTAATATTTTTTTTTGGAGTTAGGGGTCTCTAAGGTCAAGTTCAATGTCACTGGTGTAGAAAATAAATAAAAACATTTTTGCTCAAAGAACGATTATTTTCAAGTTGATGTCTTTCATGTGTAATACAAACATGCCAAGAAAAATCATCTACCTTTGGGTTTAATAAGGGGTCATTTAGATCGAGGTAAGGTCACCAGTGTCAAAAATAGATTTTTACACTTTTACAGGTATATTAAACTTATATTATTAGAAGATGTCTTTTATATCTAGTAGGAACATAAAATTGAGGTTTGCTCTTTTGAATGGAGTAAGGAGTCAGTTGGGTTAAATAGAGAAAATAAGAATACCTAAAGAAAGCACAACACGGCAAATTGAAAATGTTGCAGACTCGGTTTGATTGAGCCTGTTCATGGACGGTACTGTAAAGTGCAAACTTCCGTCCACCCCCCCCTCCCTAGCACCGGCTTAAGCAGAATTCAACATTTAAACATGAAATGGTAAAATTTTGAATTTAGAAACATCAGCAGAAGTGTTCATACGGCGGTTATCATGGAACATTCAATGTGACACCTGCGTGCCATTCCATGAAAAGCAGTGTATGGTCCCCAAGTAATAAAAAGCTTGTGCCCTAAACGAGAAAACAATCGGCGGAACTAAATAAAATGGAATTTTGAAAGGGGATCAGAGGTTATGAAGGTCACAAGTGCGAAAATTATATTTCGAGGGGTGAAAGCGAAAAGGTTCTAACTCACTTTTTTTACAAAATTCACTTTTTACATATTTGTAACATAAAATATGATAAACAAGATCGACAAGGAAAGGCGGCATTCAATGAACGCAGCCCCCATCCGACCCAGCAACAAGCGTCAGCGGCAAGGAGCCCAGGAGGACTCCAAAGAAAAACAGGACAGGGCACAAGGCAGAGCACGGGCAGGCAAACCACCACCCATATACATCTTATGTCAAAATATATAAGATTTAGTTTACTTATAAAAGGGTGAAATTGTCCAAAGGTTCTAAGTGAAATTAACCTTTTTTTCTAAAGCGAAATGGTTCTAACTGCAAATGGCAGTTAGAACCTTTTCGCTTTCATTGAGTATAAAATGTACAAGATTAAATAAAAACAACTCAAACTGCATTAAAATAAGTGAAATCAAAGCAAGTTTGAAAGCTAAAGCTTTTATTGGTATATTATCAAATAATATCACATAAGAAATTCATTAGTTTCAGAGTAGATGTCTTGATTTTGGAAGAAACTTCAGTAATTAGAACTGTTTCGCAGTTCACTCTACTCATGAAATTATTGATTTTTTAAAAGGGAAACAGTTCTAAGTGTACATGGCCAGTAATGATCACGCACCATCTTAAAGGGTTTTAAGTGCCTGTGAGAAATTGTGTGATGATATTAAAGGTAGGCTATAGATGACGGTAAGAAATCTGATAATGTTACTGAAAGTGATGCTTTAGCTTTTTATAATTAATCCAGGGACATAATTGAAGAAAATTTTAGCTTTAAGATGTGGTCTCACATCCTGGCAGAGCCCTGGTAGACGTCTTGGGATGATCCAGGAACAACCGGGATATATTCATGATCTGGAACATTCGGCATTCGACCCCGGATGGAATAAAATATTTAATAACACCGGGGTGATCCGGGTATGTATAGCTTTACCTGCTTCATCCTTAGCCCTGCCCGGAACGACCGGGTTACGCCAGGGAAGCACTGTAGCTCTGATGTCACAAACTAGGGATGATCTTGGGTATGATATAGCCCGGAGAGCTACAGAAGAGCCCCGGTGAATGCCAGCAGAGGCCCGGGGAATGCCAGCAGAGCCCCGTGAATGTCGGCAGAGCCTCTGTGAAAGCCGGCAGAGCCCCAGTGAATGCCAGCAGAGCCCTGTGAAAGCCTGCAGAGCCCCGGAGGATGACGATGGAGCTACCTTTGATCCCTGAAGTGTCCCGGCAAAGTCCGGTTCATTATAAAAGAATGACAGCAATTTGCAATGATTGCACTTGTTTATAATAAAACCCTTCCCCATTTCCCTTCTGTCCAGTCTTGCATAAGGATTATTCAGAAAATCATCATGAATTACTTATTAAATAGGAGAAAATATCATTTAGAATTATATAAATGAAAATTATGTATCAACATCATCATTTTTGCACGTTTTCAATCCACTGGGTTCTTATTACCGTGGCTCTGCCAAAATTGTCTTGGGTTCTGCCTTGATCGACTGCGGCTCTGCCTTGGTCAACTGGGGTTCTGCCGGCGTCATCCAGGAATGACCAGGTAAGCACTGGCATGAACCAGAGCTTCAACTGGGCTCTGCCGGGATGGTCCGGGAGCATCATGGGTGTTAGTTGGGAATTACCGTAGTGCTGCCGGGGTAAGTGTGACCGCAACATAAAATTTAATCTCGGATCATCCCAGTTACTTACCTGGGTGGTCCTGGGCTCTGCCAGGAGTAAATGAGACAACAACTTTAGATGACAATACGATATCAGGTGATGTTCTTGAAAGTGAGACTTCAGGTGATAGTGAGATATTTAGAATGGTTAAAAGCGATTTTTTTGATGATAATCAGAAATCCGGGTATGATAAGGTAGGAAAGGTTATAGACAAAATTACAAGATATTGTGACTTTGATATATTGGGCATTGCAAATGAACTTGGAGCTATGTGTGAGTCCAAGAAACTGAGTTGTGTAAATATAGCTGGTGCTATGTGTGACACTGAAATATTAAGTAACGTGAATGAAAGTGGAGCTATGTGTGCTTCTGAGATATTGAAAAATGTTAATGTAGGTGGAGCTATGGGTGACTTTGATGTATAAACAATGAAAAAGAAAGTATAGTTATGGATCACACTTATGCTAATGAAGGTGGCCTTCGGGACTTGGCCTTGAGACAAATCATCTCTTCTATGTATTGTTGCTACATGGGAGTGTCTCAAGTGTGTTACCCATATAATAATATACAATTATTGACTAGTGAGCCATTGAATATGATGTGATATTCACCGGCAGATGACATATTGACCGAGGCGATAGCCGAGG